ATAGCGAATTGACAGCAAGGTGATCTGAGTGTCTCCCGCCATAACTCTTTCTATGTACAAAACGTGCTTATGTTTGTATGTTTATTACAAAAAAATGGTGCAATAATCATTAATTGTCCATTTCAGCATTAAATACTACACCAAATACAAAATAAACAGCACCATTAAATTTCTTGTAAAAAACTGGTTATTATGAAGTTATTTTAAAATTTGTAAGTTCAACCGTTTGGTTTCCTACAGCGAAAAAAATAAATAAATAAACAAACTTCATCTTTTATATGTATAGATGCATAATTGGGCTAAACATTAACAACTTTGTAATACAACTACCCTTTAGGTCTGAACACGTAACATGCACTTGAAACCTGATGATATTACATTTGCTAAGCATTTAAGCTTGAGCAGTTACTTTATACAATTCAAATCTTATTTTGTTTCAGTACAAAGAAATAAATACTTTTTGCCTTGAACAAAATATCCCTATATTTGATTACCAAAATTGTTCACAATGATTCATCAATATCATTCCCGGTCAGCATAAAAGATGTAGTGCCCACTGTACACATTCCTTAAAAAAGTTTATCCTTTATTTTATGATATGTGAAATATAAGACATTCTCATGGAAATTATCATTATTTTCAGATACAAGAAGACTGTGCTCATTGGTCAAAACTAAAACTAACACAGTAATAACTACAAGTGATTTAGTTTACCATTCTGACTTTAAACATTAACATTAAAGATATAACTTACTACACTGCTTTGAAATTAGGTCACTTCTCAGCTGGTTATGATAAGTACAAATGTAACATCGTGTTTTAGCTGTAAAAACAGAGTTGATAACTGTTTATGCAAAGGATAGTGAATACTGACAATGTATTATTTTTTTAAATGTATTGCAAGGTCTGTATGTTAATATTTAGGTAAATTGCACACCTTTGTAAATCTTTAATCTGTAGTTAAAAAGATGCTTTACTGTGACAAAAATATAACTGAAAAACTAGTTTTTTTTAAAGGTATGCTTTACTCTGCTATTAAAGATATGCATGTACACATTAATACTTACTACAGATTTAAGTTTATAAAAAGATGTGTTACATTATAAGTATGCTAAACTATGTGAGGTACAGTGTTTATTTTTTGCTTGAAATTGAAGGTTTTAAAGAAATGTAAACAGTGTGACTTAATCTGATAAAGGCTGCTACATAACTAATATAGCAAAATGAAGTGTGATACATGCAACTGAATGCCAGTACTTTCAAATTCCTCACATTTAGTTACCTGTAGAATACAGTATAGTAAGTAATAGCTTGACTTCTATGTAACAGCTTAATCCGTGTTCCATTACTGTAGCCATAAGTGAAGAAAAATTAACTTTGTGTATTTTCCTGGAGATGTGTCAAAAGTTTTTGTTTAGTCCTGATATATCTATGCTGAAATAAATACCATAAGATATTACAGTAGATCAAATTTTAACATTAGACAGAGTTAATAGAAAAGTTCAGTAACAGCTCATTCTCTACTACTGATAATAACTGTTCAAAATAAAAGTAAACCACAACTATCTAAAGTATGTGGTAAATATTTGGTTTCTAGATTAACAAAGTTTGTATTATATTCCACATGTTTAGTTAGACCTAAACAGTTACAATGATCTAAGTCCAAGCAGATTTGTTTTATAAATAGATGCTCTAAGACCAGGTATGTATTGAATTTTTAAAGTTTTGATTATTAGATTTTTTTCTTTTTAAATTTTCAAATACTTGAAACAAGAGGGAATCCTCAATAACCACAACATTTGAAATTCTTTTAGGCAGGATTAGAGTAAATTGATCTACAAGACCTTTTTTTATTAGCTGTGTTTTTTTGTGTGCCAGCAATACTAAGTGTGGGATGCACGTATACCTGATTCAGTTTTATTACTCATCAGGATCTCTACCAGCCTACCCTAAAATTGAAATTCTTTTGAGCAGGATTAGAGTAAATTAACCTATGTATGGGCATGGTCAAATACATCAATCGAAAGGGTTTGATCTCCTGAATCCAAAATTGTAATTATATCTCACATCAGTGAAGAAATGACAGAACTATGAGCTAAAAGTGTGTACTTGAAAAAAAGAAAAAAAAAACTTGGATTAATTTTATGAGCCTCTATGCCGAGGCTAAAACATTTTAGACTGTTAATGGTGCTAAATAATAACAATTGTGATGGCACTGAAATTTCTTCTCTATTTTTGTTTTATATTTTGTATATGAAAAAACTGAAAGTGAGGAGTGACAACATGATTTCATTTAACCTCACATTTACATATTTGTTTTATACTGTTCATTACCAGTGGTGTACAAATATTTCATTTTTGCTAGTTATAATACTCAGTGCAAAGGTCTGACCAAAATGGTTATTTATTTAAAGTAAGTAGTGGTATTCAGCAGTAAACTTGAAGGCTTATAACACTAAAATATGGGTTTTAAAACCTGTGGCAGACACGGTGCATATAGTTGGTTATATAGCCTTTTTATAAACCAAAGAAACCTGCAATAATTAATGGAATTATGTACATTATTGATAGTATTTTTATTTACATTTGCTCTTATCAGCAAACTTACTTTTGAGTTACGGTCTCAATTTAAAAATGTAAAATTACGTTAAAGTTACAAAACATCACACTGTAAGATTCACTTCTAACGTGTGGGTAGGGGTGGTATAATCTTATCTTACGTAAGTAGTCATCATTCGTTCAGAAGCAATTTCTAAAATTGTGTGCACAATAATTTTTTTTTTTTATTTAATTGCAGGATAACAGAATCCCTTATAATATTGAAACTATGAAGGCCTTGGTTGTACTTTTTTATGTACAAATAACACAAATCTTCAAAAGGAAATTATTAATTATCATAACCCTACTATTTAGCTATTAATTATCTGATAAACTTGAAATCCAATTATGGTTTGTTTTTCAAGAATGAAAATGAGATTTTGTGTCAGTTAATTTTCTTTGTAATTACTAAACGAACCTGCTTAGTTCAGGTTCATGATATATGCCTAGGAATGAGTATGTTTAAAAAATATATATAAAAAGTAATAATTGTGATTATATATTAAACAATTCCTACATTCAGTAGGTTTTTTAATTAATGGTGGACTGTTAACAGCATTGGTTAATGTTATATGTTTTGTTTTATCTTCATAGGCAGATGATGGAACTGAAGATTTGAAGAAGGGCACTCAGCTTCTAGAGATATATGCTTTAGAAATACAAATGTACACATCTCAGAAAAACAACAAGAAGCTTAAGGTATAACATATGCTGATTCTTTTGTATGGTCATCTCACTGTATCTGTTTAAAGTAATCTTCTCCAAAATACTTAAAGTTGATAACCATAGTTTTAAATTTTGTTGAACTCTAAGCTGATCCAGAATGTTTTTTGTTTTTTTTTAAATAAGAAAGCAATGTTGTACTAGTATTGTAAATAGTACATTAGATTTTGGGGTCAAATTTAGGCAAAATAAGACTTTACTTTTATGTTGGAAATTATTTAGTTTATGGAATATAAAAAAAACTGTTAGGGAATCAAAAAAGAAGATCGGTATAGTATAGAAATAGTCATCTGTTTAGGCATACAGTGGTAGAGTGAGATAAATGTTACACACACACACACACACACGTTTACTTGTGCATTTATGTACATTATTTTGTACATAAATGTAAGTGGTATAAAAATAATTAGGATTTAAGTTTGTGGTAACCTTAAATTTATCCATAATACCTCTAACAGGTACTCAGCTAATATTTAAATAAGCCTGGATATACTGCCAAAGTAGAAATAGCATGAAATGCAGATTGCCAATCAAATCTGGAAAATTACGAATTTAAATTTGTGGGCAGTAAAAAATTAAATTATTTCTAACTCAAATGTTATTTTAAATTAAATTTCTAAATTAAATTGTTACTAAAGTCTATGGCATATCAGTGTTTGTAGATAAAGTGTGGAAAGTATTAATGCATAATCTATCTATGCAAAGACACAAACACACACACACACACACACACACATATGTACATGTGTATAGACATCACATGATATTATAGTGTGAGTGAAGGACGTCAGTACCATGTTTTGAAATGTGGAGATACAGCTTATAGACTAGTTTATTCAAACCAGGTGTTCTTACCTCTGAAATACCGTAGGCTTTGTTGAATTTGCTCTCACACTGTTGATAAACATATGACACAAAATTCTGAATATCCTTTATGTATTGCAAAGCATTGATCACACCCATAATTCTCCACTCTTTCACCTTCATTGTGACTTATTACACATATCACAAAGTCAGCATTAATTGTGATGCAAATATTTTGAAAAGTAATGGAACTTTTATAACTTCTTTGGAGGACTTACTCATGCAGGGTGATCTCATAGCAGCATTGCTAGGTCTAATCCTCAGAAGGCTTATGCTAGTCTCATTTCTCTTTTCTCTCAGTTACATTCTATTTTAAAACTTGAGCCAATTCTTGTTACACCTTAGAGTGCCAGTATCATGTTAGATGATTCAGTACTTGAATCCTTACTTGTTCCATTCCACCTGCATGTAATATGCAGGTTGTTACTGATGCTTTTAGAAACTAGTTTCATAGTAGACTTCATATTACTTGTCCCTCTGTTTAGTTATTGATGGAGGAGGGTCTTACATGTGTTTTTTTTTTTACTTTGAATTGTTGACAGTTTTCTGCTCTACACAGTATGATTTGTCTTGTTTTGAGGCATTCTTCTTTTGCACAAGATCAAATATATATTACACTGTGTACTGTTACATTCCTTTGACACTTTATCCCATCCTTATATGTTGCAAGGTACGCTTCTTTCCCTCATCATTTCAACTGAGATTCTTCCTGTATCATTTTGTCTTTGCAGGTATTTAACCTGAACTGATTTCCTGTTCATGAGAAATTTGGCAGCAGAATTTGATTAGGATTTTAACATTTCATTTTGCTTCTGTCATCCCTTTTCAAAACAACTAGTGATTAATATTCATCCTCCTGCCTTACCTTCATCCTCTACTTCTGGTCAATACCCACTACATCTACTTCTACCAATCGACCCTTTTGAGTAGCTTAATGTAAAGTAGGCATGATGGGTCTTTTCAATCTGCTCTCTTTTATTCTGGATGACTAATCAGGGTGTCGTCTCAGATCATTTGTTCATCTGTAGAACCCTTTGGCATCAAAATTTTTGGGTTCTTCAATTCAAAATTACTTTCCAGTTCATCTTCTTCCACTTTCAAATCTTCCAGTTTTCTTTTCCTTTTATTTCCTATCTATTTGGTATTAAATTTTTTTAATCAGGAAGTTTCAAACCTTTACTGTCAAAACAGTACTTCATGTTTTTTTAAGTTTTTCTCTTCTTTTGATAGTGCTTAAGAAATTAGTAGATTGGAAACTGATAATACTTTTTATGGGGACTGATAATACATATTTGTTATCTGGACATTGTCATTTCAAGGTAGAAACCATGAGTATCTTACTGAAATTTCTTCATCAGCATTTTCAAAAACTTTTCACCCATCTCCTTAGGCAGTCAAATCCTTAAGTGTCTTGGGTGTGCCTACTTGTGTCCTCCATCTGAAAAATATGTCCTCTCTGTTTTAGGACAATGGCTTCTCTTTATGAAGTGGTTACCTTGGGCTATGCTCACATAAGACACCTTCAATGTGATCTTAAAAGGCATTTATCTTCAGATATATTGTCTCAGAGAATTTCTCTTTCTCCTGCTACTCTCAGTTACCTTAAAGTTTGGCTCAATCAAAAATGTACCACTATAAGTTCCTCTGTTCTTCCACCATATACAGATCTAAACCTTTCCACAGATGCTTCTCTCAAAGGCTGTAGTGCTGTATTGAGAAATGTCATCTTTCAGGTCTGTTATCCTCAGGAATCACTTTCTAACATCAACCTCTTGGAGCTTTGGGCTGCTCAACATGCCTGTTATGAGTTGCTACCCTTGTTACACCAACACTATATTTCACTTCATACAAACAATCCACCATACATCAACAGTTGTATTTCCCTCACACATCTACCTATATGACTTGCATACCATTAACCTTGAGCTAACATTCACATGTTTAATATGAACTGTGCTGGTGCATGATGAAATCATCATGTGACAATAACCACCCACCAATAGGAGGGTGACACAACCTCCATGCGCACTAACTTGCCTTATGCACTTGCACTTGTGATAACTTCTTTCTTTTCCTTGGCACAACATTTCAACAGATATGTTTAAACTTCTCGTCTAAGTTCAGTTTGATGAGATTTTCATTTATTAAAGAAACTTTAATTTTCACTTTCTTCAGATTTTGTTTCAAAAGCTTTAATTTTCATCATGAATTTTCAGATGACTTATACTTAGTCCTGTGTGAGTGATGATGTTACACACACAGGGCTTATTTTTACTATGGCTTCTGGAGGCTCTTTTAATTGTTGGGGACATTGTAGCCTTTGTTCACTGTGTTGTGGATTACCATATACTTACTGTGCCTCCTACTCCTGTCCTGCCAGCTGTCGTTCTTTCCCTTTAGTCAAGAATGGCCTACTGTACTATGAATTTAACCTGATTTCCTTTTGGTTATGCCTTACCATTTGGGGAATGACCTTAACCTTCCAATCTCTCTCTTTGCTTGTGTCCTTTATTTTGCCTGTTCTTCACTCTGTGAACCAAATTCTTATATTGTCTTTCTTTCTTGCTTGTTATTAGGGTTTATGCTGTTTCCTTTCTCTAACAGCTTCTCTCTCGCACCCAAATGTCTTGTCCCTCTTGCATTCTTGATTCTTTCTGACCTGTCTTGTAGATATTCTACCTTTTCTTTCTGGATTCCCTGCCTTTGATACCTATTTGATCTGTATGGGGATTGGACCCCTTGCCTTCTTATCGCTCCCTGGTTCCCCATTTTTGTGTCTACATTCTCTCCTCTCTCCTACTTTTGTGTAGAGCACTTCATTATGCTCAGCAGAGATTTCCTGTAAAATTTCATTCCCTTTGTTATCTTAGCTTGTTACATTTCTGCTCTATCCCTCATTTCTTTGTTCCCCTACTGTTGGGTCACGTTGCATTCATCTTTACTGTACACCTTCCATCTGCTTGTTTACATGATTTTTTTTTACCTGAATGTCTTCGGTGGTGTTCATTTCTCACTGGAAATCTGGACTGAAGCTGAATGACTTCAGTCCTCATTATGTTCCCAGGTTTTTCTTCTTTCTCAATCTTGCCCTTTGACTCCTGTTCCTCATCTGGATCAGTCTATCCCCTAACCTTCTCACTCTGGGTTCCAGGCCTTCCTCTTTTACTCGTCCTCCCACTACCCAACATCTGGTTCATTGCTCTTCTTGTCAGTGACTTTCTTGTCACTTCCAGTCTTGTGGATACTGATCTTTTCCTCTTCACTTGCAGTTTGTCCAATTTTTCTGCTGAAAGTTGTTTTCAAAAACACACTTACCTCTGCTCACACTAGCTTTATCCCAACAAAAGTTCCTCATCTCTGACCATCTAAGCTCTGGTATGAATCTTACCTCCCTTGCTCCAGCCTTTTTAACCCACTATATTTCCCACCTATATCAATGCCCTCCTTATATCAGTTCCGTATATAAGCTCCCCATTATTACTTGTAATTCAGTTTTTCTCGACATCAGACAGTTGCAATGATGGTTTTAAATGCTTGCTGCAGGTTTCTCTTTAGCATTGCATAATTTTCCTTATACCTATGCTTTAGCTATTTTCTTCTTTCTTTTTTTTAGTACCTGTCTTATTAGGTCTTCAGTTTATTGTCTATTCTTTATTTTCAATAAAAACAAAAATTCTCTGACATAGAGTCTCCAAATACCCCTGATCTTTTCAACTTTGCTTTACATGCTAGAAGATGTGCTGATTACTTGAGAGATGGTGCTGCCATGTCTTGTCTTCCCTGTTTATTAGATCAGCATGCAGTAGCTTTCCATTTCCTGGAGAACCCATATTTGGATTCTCAGAGGCTATTTGGGGTTCTAGGCATGATGCTACTGTTCATCTCATCCAAACTCATCTGTCCCTTACAACAGTTTTAAATTTTTTCATCTTCTTTGCAACTATTGTCTGATGCCTATCACAGGTCACCTACTCAATTTTTAGCAGATCTGAATCATTTATTGACTTTACTTTGGTGAAGTTATTGGCATATGCTCTCTCCTTTGTCTCTTGGTTGGTTGGTTGGTTGCTGGGATCTTTTGGTGAGAGAAGATACCTTGCTTGAGGGAGTTT